CCGGGAAGGGCTGCCGCCCCAAGGCTGGGCGCGGCGGTGGGGGTGGCGGTGCAGGTGGAGGTGGTGGTGGAGTCGGGTCGCCTAGTGGTAGCACTGACGAGGGGACCCTGACAGGTGCAGCCGAGCAGCCGCCTCAGCAGCCGCAGGTGTCGCAGCCCGACACGCATCAGCCGCAGCAGCAGCCCTCGCACCAGCCTCAGCAGCCGCAGCAGCAGAGGCGGGCGAGTGGACTCCCGCCCGGGTGGCTTGGCGCTGGTGGTGGCGGTGGACGTGGTGGTCGTGCGCGTGGTGGACTGCCGGGTGGCGGGTAGGGTGACGCACGCTGTCAGTACCAGCTCCAGACCGGTCCTCGCCGTGGTTTTGTTTGCGGTAAGATCGGTCACACCTCCGTCCGCTGTTTCCGTCGCCTGGACGATCTGTTTCGTCAGCGCTTCGGCCCGACGCCCGACCTCCCCGACTGGTATAGCTTGCTTCGCCGTAGCGTTCAGATCTTTGATATGGACATGGATGAGATTGTTGCTGCCCTGCATGTGATGTATGCTGATGGCTCTAGTGTGACTGCTCCTTACTACCTCTTGTTGCCTAGTGTAGGCATTTCTAGTCGTGCCTCCCCTGCTGCGTCAGGCGTAGGATCCCCAGCTTTGTTTAACCTTGGTTCTACTGTCACTGCTCTGTCTTCAGACGCCACCGCTGCGCTCTCCTTCACCCTCGACTCTAGCGCTTCTCAGTGTTTCTTCCGTGACTCCACTATGCTAACACCGCTTGCTACTCCTGCTGCAGTTTTCCTTGACGACCCCTCCTCCGGCCCGGTAGTCGCTCGCAGTTCCACCACCCTTCCCTGTCCGGCGGTTCCTTCGGGCTCTCTTACAGGCCTGCACATCCCCTCGTTCTCCAGGAACGTAGTTGGTGTCGGCTTCCTCCAGGACCTTGGCGTCACCACTACGTTCCCTGGTCACGAGCGGTACGCTGTCTGTACCGAGGCCACCATTGGTGCCCCCCTCACCATGTTCCCCCGGGACCCGGTGTCCGGCCTGTTCACACTGGACACTGCGACCCCCCTGGCAGGGACGTCTTCTCAGGTGGCTACGTCTACCCAGGTTGTTGCGGCCTGCTCCTGTCGGTCGCTCACTCACCCGACACTCCTGTGGCACCACCGTCTAGGTCACCCCGCCATCCAGCGCCTGCGTCACATGTCACAGTACGGTCTTGTCCTAGGTCTCCCAAGGTCGTTCCCCGAGTTGCCCTCCTCCCTAGCACCACCGTGCACGCCCTGTGTTGAGGGCCGGCTCCGCCGTGCCCCTCACTCCTCCTCTTTCCCCCCTACCGCCGCACCGCTACAGACCCTGCACATGGACGTCTGGGGCCCCGCCCCCGTCCATGGGCCGCGTCAAGAGCGCTACTTCCTAATGCTTGTCAACGACAACACGCGCTACACCACGGTGTTTCCCCTGGAGTGGAAGGCCGACGTGCCTGACATTCTCATCCCGTGGCTTGTCTCTGTGCGTGTCCACCGCAGTCTCCCTGTCTTGCGTCTCCACTCCGACCGTGGTGGCGAGTTTGCCTCTGGTGTCCTTGGTCGTTTCTGTCGTGCGAAGGGCATCACCCAGATGTTCACCCTGCCGGACTCCCCGCAGCAGAATGGGGTCGCTGAGCGACGCATCGGCTTGGTCATGGAGGTGGCCCGTACCTACATGATCCATGCCAGTGCACCCCATTTTCTGTGGCTGTTCGCTGTTCGCTACGCCGCTCACAAGCTTAACCTGTGGCCGCACCCCCAGCAGCTGCAGGTTTCGCCGACCCTTCTTTGGTCCGAGTCTCCTGGTGACGCCTCTGCGTTTCACGTCTGGGGCTGCCTTGCTCCCGTTCGTGCCTCTGGCACGGACAAGCTCATTGCCCACACCCTCCCTTGTGTCTTCCTCGGTTTCCCCCTTGGCGCGTCCGACTGGCACTTCTACCACCCCCCGTCTCACCGGTTCTTTCACTCTCGTAACATCACCTTAGACGAGTCCGTCTCCTTCTACCGCCGCTTCCCCCACATAGGTCCCCCGGTTACTCCCCCCTGTTCCTGGTCAACCCTTCCCTGGTCGCCCCTGTCCCCCCCCCTCCCCCTCCCCGTCCTGCACCGTCTGGTGTGTCTCACGTCACTCCCCTCTCGTCGGTTGTCCCGGTCGAGGAGTCTGCTGACTCTGGTGGCCCTGCAGCGCAATCCTCCCCGCCTGCCCCTTCCCAGGTGTCGCCTCCTCCGCCGCCTTCGCTGTCGCAGCCGCCGTCACTGCCGCCGCCGCCGCCGCAGCCGTCGCCGCAGCCGACGCAACAGCAGTTCGTTGAATCTAGGGGTGCTGGCGCTGGGGTGGGTACTAGTCCCTGGGTTCCTGTCGTGGCCTGTCCCGGCGGGCCTGGGGGTGGTACCGGTGTTCGGGGGGTTTCGGGCCCTGGGGGTGTTCCTTCTGGGGGTGCTCGAGTGGAGTGTTCCGGAGGTAGCCGTGGAGCAGCTTGCCATCCTGGTGCCGGTGTCGTGCCACCGCAGCAACAGTCACCGTCGGTGTCAGCCCTTCGTCTACCCGGCCTCCCGTCCCCTGACCACGTGTCTGTGCCTTCCCTGCCGTCTCCTCCCCTTCTTGTCTACGGCCCTGTGTTCCCTCCCCCTGACTCGTCTCCGGATCATCATCCTCCTTGTTCCCCTCCTGTGTCCCCTCCTCTGTCTCCTGACCCGACGCCTCCGTCTCACGTCTGGTCTCGCCGTCCCTCCCGTGCTCGCCCTGTCTCCCTTGTCCCGCGCTCTCACCCTATGTTGCTTCGTTCCCACGCGTCTCGTCCTACCATCCTACCGTCGCCGCCTCCGTCCTCTCTTGTTGTTGCACCTCCCCCCCTGTCTGACTACCTTCCCGCCGCTCGTCCCCTTGTTCCTAGGGTCCTTGCCTCCATCGTTACCGACCCGTGCATTCCGGTCTCGTGTCTAGACGCTCTTGTCGCTGCAGTCGCTGACTTCGCCTCTACCCGCCGCCTTGACTACGCCACCGCTCTGGTCTCTGACCCTGCCTGTCCTCCGTCTGTCGGGGGTGCTCCTGCCCTTGGCCGTGACGTTCTGGAGGACCGCCAGTACGAGCTTGCTTTCCGGTCCGAGGCTGCTCCCCATCATTGTTCCATGCTGTTAGTCCCTGAGGGTGACCCAGACGCTTTCGATATCCTGACCCCTCGCACTTACGTTGAGGCGACCTCGGGACCTTGGGCCTCTCAGTGGATAGCTGCCATGGAGCAGGAGATGGCATCTTGGAGATCCACCGGCACCTACGTCGACGCAGTTCCTCCACCTGGGGTGAACGTAGTCGATGGCCGCTGGCTCTTCAAGGTGAAGCGCCCTCCTGGAGAGCCGCCTGTGTTCAAGGCGCGTTACATGGCTAGAGGCTTTAGTCAGCGTGAGGGGGTGGACTTCTTTCAGACTTTCGCCCCGACGCCGAAGATGACTACTCTTCGGGCAATGCTATACGTAGCAGCACAGCGTGACTACGAGTTACACTCCCTCGACTTCTCCACTGCGTTTCTTCAGGGCAGTCTACATGAGCAGGTCTACCTGCGCCGCCCTCAGGGTTTCACTGGTACCTTCCCTCCTGGGACCCAGTGGTTTCTGCGGCGCCCAGTCTACGGCGTGCGTCAGGCTCCCCGCGAGTGGCACGATACACTGCGTGCTACTCTTGCAGACCTGCAGTTCTTTCCGTCTTCCGCAGACCCCTCGCTCTTTGTTCGTTCTGGCCAGACGCCGTTCTACATCCTTGTTTATGTAGACGATCTGGTCTTTGCCATTGCAGACACCACCGCGCTGGCCTTTGTAAAGGCTGAGTTGCTGAGGAGACACACCTGCACTGACCTAGGAGAGCTGCGCCACTACCTGGGCCTGCAGATCTCCAGAGACAGAGCAGCGCGCACCATCAGTCTCACCTAGTCACACTTGGTGCGCCAGGTCCTTCAGAGGTTCGGTCTTCAGTTCTCCTCCGCACAGTCCACATATGTTCCAGTAGATCACAGGCTCTTTGCTCCAGTTCCTGAGGAGTCAGCAGAGCCCAGTGGTCCTTACGCAGAGCTGGTGGGTTGCCTCATGTACCTGATGACTTGCACTCGTCCAGATCTCGCATACCCTCTCAGCGTCCTGGCTTACTTTGTGGCCACAGGCAGACACAGACCTCAGCACTGGTCTGCAGCTAAGAGGGTTTTGCGTTATCTCGCGAGTACATTAGGCATGGGGTTAGTGCCGGGAGGACGCAGGCCGGTGGTCCTTACTGGGCACACAGACGCTTCTTGGGCAGACGACGCTGAGACCCTTAGGTCCTCGCAGGGCTACTGCTTTAGCCTTGGTTCAGGTGCTGTCTCGTGGAGAGCTACTCGCTCCTCGTCTGTTGCCCAGTCCAGTTGTGAGGCCGAGATCTACGCCGGTGCCATGGCGGCACAGGAGCTCCGCTGGCTGACCTTCGTGCTCACTGACTTAGGTGAGTGGCCTAGCTCTGCGCCAGTCCTGTACGCTGACAACAGGGCCATGATCCTCCTGTGTCAGGAGCCTCGACTTAAGGGAAGAGCAAAGCACATCCAGCTGCGGTACTTCCTCTTGCGCGAGCTGCAGCAGCGTCGCGAGGCTCGCGTTGTACACTTGGCCTCCGGTTCCAACACAGCTGATATCTTTACGAAGGCGCTTGCGCCTAAAGATCATCAGCGGCACTGTGTACAGCTAGGCATTGTTCCTGTTACCTCTCACTTGCTAGGGCCTTGACTATGTACTGACCTTTATATATTTTCTTCTTGACTGGCCTTGTGGCCTCTCCCAGTGGCTGGACTAGTAGTGCCGCCCTGGTCTTGCCCTTGCACTGGTCTGTACTTGTTTGACTGGTCCTGGGACCCTTGATTCAGAGGTTGGATTAGTAGTGCTGCCCTGAGTTGCCGTTTCTCTCATCAGGAACTGCACCTATGCAATCTAAGGGGTGTGTCAAACATGTATATATGTTATGTTTGTCTAAGGGTACAACACTTAGGCTTATACCCTTGTACTGTTTTCTCTCGACATCCAATTCTACGTTAAGACTACTCGTATCTCGGTTTCGGAGCGCATGCACTCAAAAAGCATAATTGACGCAAGCGAACTGCAGTTCTTTGAATAATACGCAACATTTAGCACACATACATCAAATCAAAGTGGTCATTTGCAAAGCTTTCTGAGCTTGGAGGTACGCAGTTCCGCTGGCAAGCCGCAAAAGATCCTCCTCCACACCAGGACGACCCGGAACCTCGGTTGGCCTCTCCACGTCGCCATGTTGCCGTATGGCGGCACAACGCCATCGAATGTGATTATATGGAACGGAGCAAGGAACGGTAGGGTGTAGGGCTTTAAGGCGAGGGGAGTGGCATATGACAGGGGGAGCCGGTGGGCCGGGGGGGATGTGAACCACGAGGAATAAGCGGCGTTTAAGAAGTGGTTGACGGATGTGGCGGGGAAGAGTGGCGACAATAGGCGATTCGTGAAGGCCTGTTATCAGGGAGGGGAGGGGAGGTGCGGGGAGGGGAGAGAGGGTTAATGGGGCAATCAAGGCTGGGCCGGGGGGGATGTAAACTTTGAAGAATAAGCGGTGTTCAAGACATGGTTGACGGATGTGGCGGGAACTACCATAGAGTGTCAAATCAGGCGTGCTTACATGTTAAACTATTTATCCGCATCAGTATTCAAAAGTGTATATGCAGATGAAACGCACCTGGAAGAGCTGGTCCGAGGGAGCGACGAGAAGAGTGGCGGTGGAGAAGCGGTCGGGCGGCAGGGAGAGAGGAGCAGCATGCTATTGAGACGACCGAGGCTAAGCACATATGTGAATTCCTTGTTATGCAGAACGCACCTGGAAGAGCTGGTCCGAGGGAGCCAGGAGGAGAGTGGAGGTGGAGAAGCGATCAGGGGGCAGGGAGAGGGGAGCTGCAGCGAAGGGGCGGTGGGAGAAGAGGTCGAGGCAGGAGCGCCAGAAGAGAGAGAGCGGGTGAACGTAGGCAATCACTGGGACGTCGGTCTGTTGGTTGTTTGGGAAGGGGGGGAAGGGAGAGGAGGTAAAGGACCAGGGAGCAAGAAGGGGGGGGGGGGGGGGGGGGGGGGGTTGTCGTTGCAGGGAGAGGGGAGCATGGATAGGGGGAAGGGAGAGGGGAGCACTGGGATGTCGGTCTGTTGGGGAGATGCATGTAGGAGAGAGGAGCATGGAGTAATGACCAGTAGCCAACATTTGGTGTGAGAAGAGGTGCAGAGTCGGTAATACCTTCGCAGTCCATACCTACTGCCATTACCTACTGCTTTTCAATCGACTCACCAGCAGGCTCATTACCAGGTCCCATACCTGTTGTCAAACCTGCTGCCATACCTTCGCCCATGCCTGTTGTCATTACCTGCTGCCACAGCCTCAGAATCGTGAAATCGGGCGGCAGTGGACGGGCGGCACGAGCGGGTGGGCGGCGAACAGAGACGGGGTCGACAACGCGCACAGACCAGAAGAGCGACTGAGAGGAGAGTGGTGGGAGGAGGGGGGATGCAGGGGGGTAAGAGCAGCATCAGTGGGTGGGCGGAGAACAGAGACGGGGTCGACAATGCGCACAGACCAGAAGCGACTGAGAGGAGAGGTGGCGGAGGGAGGGGAGTGGGAACATTTTTTAGAATTCTCAAAAAAGGGAAGTGATGCCGGGGGGACGAGAGACTGAGAGGTGAGAGTTGGCGGAGAGGGGGGGAGGGGAGAGGGGGGGAGTGAGGGGAGGGGGGATGGCCGGGGGGTGAGAGCAGCACGAGCGGGTGGGGGGCGAACAGAGACGGGGTCGATGACACGCACGGACCAGAAGAGAGACTGAGAGGAGAGCGGGAGGTTTGGGGGGGGGGGGAGATGCCGGGGAGGTGAGAGCAGCACGAGTGGGTGGGGGGCGAACATAGTCTGGGTGTGTGAGATCAACAATGCAAACACAGCAAAGAGGGAGTGTGGATGGTGAAAGGGGAAGGGGGAGCGTGCAAGGGTGGGGGGGGGGGGGGGAGGGGGCGATTGCAGATGAATTTTATTTTCGAGATGCTGTTTATCAGAATAGACGATTCGCTCATTCCAGCTTAGTGGGTGCAAGTGAGTAACCGACCAACCTGCTCTCCCCCCTCCTCCTACGCCCCCCCCCCAAGACTCCCAGACTCGCCTCACCACAATCCATTAAAGACTATTAAATAAAGCGCTGTAAAGCCCATTTATCCTACTCACCTCAAACTCATAAGGCGCCCATTTCTCCTTGGGCACTGCAGACGACACCAGCAGAAGCGAGCGGCCCTTGAGTCGACTCAAAAACATCACACCACATGCCCATCACATGCCCGTCACATGCCATCACATGCCCATCAGATGCCAATCACATGCCAATCACGTGCCAATCACATGCCAATCACATGCCAATCAAATGCCATCCATCTTAACGCACCTCAAACTCATAAGGCGCCCATTTCTCCTTGGGCAATGCAGACGACACCAGCAGAAGCGTGCGGCCCATGAGTCGACATGCCATCACATAGCATCACATAGCATCACATACCATCACATAGCATCACATAGCATCACATAGCATCACATAGCATCACATGCCATCACATGCCATCACATACCATCACAAACCATCACATACCATCACATACCATCACAAACCATCACATAACATCACATACCATCACATGCCATCACATACCATCACATACCATCACAAACCATCACATACTATCACATGCCATCACATGCCATCACATGCCATCACATGCCACCACATGCCACCACATGCTCAAATGCCATTACATGCCCCTCACATGCCATCAAACCCTTTTTACTCACCTCAAACTCATAAGGCGCCCATTCTCCTTGGGTACTGCAGACGACACCAGCAGAAGCGTGCGGCTCTCGAGTTGATTCAAAAACATCACACCACATGCCTATCACATGCCATCAGATGCCTACACGCCCATCACATGCCCATCACATACCTATCACATGCACCGTACGCATTGAACCCTGTCAAATTTAACTCGCCTCAAACTCATAAGCCGCCCATTTCTCCTTGGGCACTGCAGACGACACCAGCAGAAGCGTGCGGCGACACTTGTCCTTATCCACACCAGATCTGCCGCCCTTAATCACCCTCCTCCCTCCCATCCCCTCTGCCCCACTCCCCTCCTCTCCTCTCCCTCCTCCTCCACCCACCTTCTTACTTCTCTCTTTCCTCCCTCTACCCCATCCGCCCCTCTTCTGCGGCTTGCTATGCTGCCTTATGCCCATGGCGGTACCTCCACCGCCAGTGGTGACATTTGTCTCATCTGCTCGCCCGCAATGATGGCGGTGAAAGGATCGGATCCACACAGCCACGGGGATGATGTCAGCTGCTGACGTCAGCACTGTAGCAAACACTCCCTCCTCCCTCTGCCTCTGCTCTTGCTGCTCGTAACTCTCAAGCTTCTCGGAAGTTTCCTCAGTGCCGTAGCCAGCCAATCCCGAGACAGCGTGCAATCCTGTAGTCGATCTTTTGCCCTTGTAACCATGTGTAACCATCCCTGACGTGGCTGTGGCTGCAGCTGCTGCTGCTGCTACTACCACATCATTGCTCTTGTTTACAGGTGTGGAGGAAGAAGAGGAGGAAAAGGAGGACTCGAGGGGATCGAAGAAGGTATCAAGAGCGGAGGTGGAGGCCAGAGATCTGCCTGTTCGAGGCTTGGCCTGCCCACCTGCTGCTGCTGCTGCTGTTGCTGCTGTTGTTGCTGCTGCTGGTGATGATGATGATGATGATGATGATGATGATAATTCAGAGTTGCCTTTCACCAAAACGGAAGAGGAGGAAAAGGAGGACTCGAGAGGATCGAAGAAGGTATCGAGAGCGGAGGAGGAGGCTAGAGATCTGGAGCGGTCCCCTGTTCTTCTGTCGGCTTGCCCACCTGCCACTACTGCTGACGATTCCTTGCTGCCTTTCACCGATTCCTTGCTGCCTTTCACCGATTCCTTGCTGCCTGTCACTGAATTGGTAAAGGAGGACTTGAGAGGTTCAAAGAAGGTATCGAGAGCGGAGGAGGAGGCTAGAGATCTGGAGCTGCCCCCTGTTCTTGCCTTGTGCTTAGCACGGTTACCGTGCAACTTCTGCTGCTTGTGCCCTTGCGGCTGCTGCTGCTGGTGCCAATTCTTCTGCTGCTGCTGCTGATTCTGCTGCTGCTGCTGCTGCAGTTGCTGCTGCTGCAGCAGCGGCGGATCATCCATAAGTTCAGCAGAGGAGGAGAGAGGGAGGGAGGGGGGGAGGGAGGCCGGAAACCAGAGCCACTGGGGGAGGTGAGGGGGGGGGCAGGGAGAGGGAGAGGAGGGAGAGGAGGACGCAGAGGACGAGGAGGAGGAGGAGGAGGAAGAGGAGGATGAAAGGGAAGAGGGGGAAGACTTCAAAAAGAGGGTCATATCCAGGTGGAGCTCGGGGATAAGGCCGACCCATGGCAGCTGTGCCACATCCCTCCAGGAACACACACGGGAAGTGAGGGGAGAAGGGGAGGGAGGGGGAGGAGGGGATGTGAGAGGGGGAGGAGGGGAGGAAGGCAGGTGAATAGAGGGTGAAGCTTTTGACACATCAGGCGAGGGAAGAGAGGTGGGTAGGGGAGCGGACGAGGGAATGGGAGGTGGTGCGGCAGGGAGAGCCTCGGTGCTCGTGTTTACTGCTCCCCCCTTTCCCATTGGCACGTCTCCCTCCTTTGCCACTCCTTCCCCTTCTTCCCTCCCCTTTAAACTTCTCCCAAACCGCCCCTTACCCTCGCCCTTCCCCCCCCCTGTTCCGCCTGCTGGCCTCCCCTTCCCCGTATCCCCTGCTTCCCCCTGCCCCCGTCCCCCACAGTGCTCCCCCAACCCCAGGGGCACCGCCCACTCCCCCTGCTGCAGGGACCAGTACAGGGCGAGCCAGGCTCGGCACCACACCGAGCAGAAGCCCCAGGTTCGGTCGACCTCCGACAGGTACGGGAGAGGCCCAGCGAGGAGGGATGAGAGATGGGGCTTCTTCTCCTGCGTGTCACAACCACAGGCACAAGAGGAAGAGGTAGAGGCAGCAGCACTACTACCAGCAGCAGCAGCAGCAGCAGCAGCAGCATCACCACCGCCAGCACCGCTGCCCGGAACATTCAACCCTCCAGCAACCCCCTTCTCAGGACCGTTCGAACCAAGCTCCTGGGTTGCATGACTAAACTGGTCCAAGGGCGTGTTCAGAAAAAGCCAGGGTTTGAACCAGGGGTTGGCGAAGTGGACAGTGTGAACGGGCCCTAGGTGCAGAGGGGCGCAGTCAGGCCCGCAGGGGGGGTGCAGCCAGGGGGGAGGTTGGTACCAGGGGAGGGGGAAGTGGAGGATGGTGTTGGTGCTGAAAGGGAGGCGGCAGGAAGGGTGGGACTTGTACCAGTGGCGGAACACAGAGTTCAGAAAGTCCTGTTGGGAGGGGGGGGGGGAAGAGCAGTGGGGTGGGGAGAGAGGGTGACTGAGATAGTGCCAGGGGGGCGGTTGGTAACAGGGGAGGGGGAAGTGGATAGTTGTGTTGATGCTGAACGGGAGGCAACATGAAGAACAGGATTTGCACAAGTGGCAGAAATCCGGGTTATAAAGGGAGAGGGGTTGCACGGGAGGAAGAGGGGGGGGAGGAGGAGGGGAGGAGAAAGGGAGCACGAGCGTGCTGCCAAACAATCTGCCTCAGGACCATTAGGCTCGGCCGAACCAGGAACAGTCAGTGATGCTAACCACACACCTTACCTGGCCCTGCTGTACCTCGTCCTGCCATACCTGGTCGTTAGGCATGGCACCCGAACGTGCAGCTACGGCAGCCGCCATCACATTGGCTCGCCTGACGATCTGCCGGAAAACCTTGAGGCTCGGCCGAACCAGAAACACAGCAAGCACTAAGCTCCCTGCCGTACCTGGTCGTTTGGCATGGCACCAGCGCGAGCAGCCACGGCAGCAGCCACCACATTGGCCCGCCTCACGATCTGCCGGAACACCTTGAGGCTCGGCCGAACCAGCAGCAGGCCCGCGTTGAAGCGGTCAGCCTCGTACACATCAGGTGCGGCGGCTAGAGGCTCGGGGCACGGCTGCCTGTAGGGGGAGGTGGTATCTGGTGCAGGGCCAGCTGTGCCTGCTGAGGAGGTAGTATTTGGTGAAGGATCAACTCTGCCTGCTCCCTTGTTTCCTCTGCTGCTGCCAGTACCAGTGCTACTGCTGCTGCTCCTGCTGCCAGTGCTGCTACCCTCGTCAGCGTTACGAGGAAATAGATGATCCATATTCCTCATTATAAGCACATCCACGTCAAGATACAGCACCCACTCATACTCCACCAACCGCCACACATGAAGCTTCCTGTAACCTTCCACAGGCGACGCCGCCCCTGCCATCCCTGCCGTCCCTGCACCCTGATTGGCTACCTCCCCTCTGCCGCCCAAACCGGCACCATCCGAATCGCTTCCGCCCAGACTTCCACCGCCCGGGCCTGCTAGCAGCGGATTGGCTGCGATCGCGGCGCCTTGAAGGTGATTGGCCGGGAGCGGGATGACGGCTGTGAAGTGGCGGAGGAGGAGGGGGAGCGGCAGGGTGGAGGGCTGGCGGTGCATGGAGGAGGAGAGGAGGAGGAGGATGTCATGTGGGGTGCTGGAAAACCGCAGGGTCTGAGCGGCCACTATGGCGGGACGTAGCTGAAAGCCATGGGGGAGAACGGAGGAGGGGAGCGTGGGAGAGTGGGGAGGGGAGGGGGTTAAAGCCTGAGATCATAAGGGACGAAAGGGTTTCGGGTTCAAAGTTAAAGATTCGGGATTCTCTTCCTAGAGGGGAAGGAAGGGGAGCAAAAGGAAGAATTTCGAGGGAGCAGGGGGGAGGGTTGTTGTAACCAACCAGTCACAATCACCGGCTTCTTCGACCAAGTTTGTTACCAGGTGACTTTGAGTCGGCTCAAAAGTCACCAGTCACAATCACCTGCTTCTGTAACCAAGGTTGTTGGTTACCACCAACCGTTACCTGATACCGAACCTAGCCCCCCCACCCGACCGAACCAGGAACGACCCACCAACCAGGCTAGACGAATGAACGATGAAGACGTAAGCAAATCTTGATCTCGCCATCCCCGAACGAAGCGCGCCCAGCGAACCGCCTCTCCCCGCTTCCCCTCCCCCTTCCGCTGCTCCCCTTCCCCCTCGCCCTCCCCTCCCTTCCCCCATCCCGTCCCCGCGCCCCGCCTCCCGTTCCCCCGCCCGTTCCCCCTCCTCCTCCCCCTCCCCCTCCCCCCATTCCGCTTCCGCCTGTTGCCGCGCCTCCAGCTGAACCCTTAAAGCCCTGGTTCGCTGCCGCCGCTCCTTCCACCCGCCTTGGAGACGAACGCGCCGCGTGGCAATCGTCACGCCGCCAATCCCGGCGGATGTCACGCCGCCGATCACGCCGCTGAGTGCGCTGCTGCTGCTGCCATGGGTCGCATTCGCCCCGGCGGTTTCTAATCGGCGGTCACCTAGACCATAACCGGACCACTCACCGTCGAGCGTCTCGGGTACATTACGTATGTCTTTAATCTCCCCATTACCCGAGCCGCGGACACGGCTTCGGTCCCGGGCTAGGCCACTGGAAACGGAGCGTTCCGATTGGTCAGAGTCGGGCGGTTCGGAGGAGGATAGAAGGCTGTAGCAGTAACACGTGGCGAGGACTACGGCGATTAGGAGGAGAGGTAAGAGACGTTTTAACGGCCGGCGTTTCTTGGGTAAAGGATAAGGCTTGCCCTTCACAGCAGGGCTGGACCAAACACGTGGCTTCGGCATCTTATCTCCTTGAGACGATTATTGAGGTGCCTCGACTCCAATGACACGCGACTAAGTCATCCTATGGTGGTGTTGATAGGGCTTTGCCCTTCACAGCAGGGCTGGACCGTACACGTGGCTTCGGCATCTTATCTTTTGAAGTCGAGTAGACTCAACTGGCACACGGCCTAGCCATCTTATGCGAAATTAATTGAAAAATTCGAAACCTTTCGTTAGAATAACAAATCAATTAACACCGTCAACTGATGTCCTAATGGGGCGATAGAAGCTGTAGATGTTTGATTGTTTAGGCAATTCAGTGGGATAATTATCGGGTCCGCTCAAAAGGGAGACTCTAAAACTGCGTCGTATCAGCCACTCGCTGCGAGGGTGTCCTAAGTGCGCACGATTCGTGCTCGCACGTGCATTCGAGCAGAGATGCAGGAAAACATATGGCTGCTATCTGAGGAGCATACCTGTGGATGTGGAAACTAGGACTGCGCGGGATTCCCAAGGTGCTGCTGATCGAAGGGATAGAAAGAGGTAGCAGAGGAGCAGGAAAGAGTTGGGTGTACTCGTTATTGTTTCCTCTCTTAGTTAACGTAGGAAGGAGCAATCCCCTAAGGGCATGTGAATATCATAAGGCATACAACTTTATGCAAATCACGACAATGGACGCTCGTGATAGATTCCACATTGCTTTCAACGCACTCATACCTCCATATGCTTGAACTATTCGTGAGTACACGTACAAGGCTCATTACCTGCAAGATTGTGAAGGATCGTTCTTATATTAAGAAAGGTGCTAGGTGTATTTATCTCATAGTTACCGGAACAGCTTTTGCCGAAATAATATACGTGTCACCCTGTCAGCCCTTCATTGGCTGCCCTCGAAATCTCAGACCACCAAGCCAGCCACGTACGTGTTTACCGTGTGACCGTTTCAGGCCACCATTCAGGATCTACGAACTTCCACGAATCGATCAGGGATTTCGTAAACTGTTCGTTTGCTTCGCGACAAGTTTTATGATCCCCATTCCCGAAGCGACCATCTCCAGCGAACCCGTCCCCTTCATTTTGTTCGGTCCGATTCGTTTCCTGGAGTTTCAAAGCGGTGAGATCGGAAAACGTCATCCATCTAAGGAAATCCGTTTTAGCGGTCCATCACAGTCAGCTCTGCTTGTTCTGCTGCTGGCCTTCAAACTTCTAGCTGTGCAGTAGATTACTAGTCTGTCGCCTTTACTGCCTCGAGATAACTGTGGATCTCGCGTGGATTCCGGTCTCTCTCAATTTTTGCTGGAGCTCTCATGGCGACTCTAGCTACGCGGTTACCAGGAAACAGTGCTTCGCTGAACAATGCCATCGTGGTCGGCCAGGGGAGAGAAGCCACGTGTGCAACAACGGCCCCTGTCGCACCAATGGCTTCGCTAAGAGCTTGTTCGCTAAGAGTCTCCTCGCTGAAAGCTGCGAATCCTTTCTCCCAGATTCGATTAATTCGGCAAAGCCATTGCCACTGTCCACGTCATCAAGCCACGTGGCGGTCCGTGCGTGCTCAGAGCCAGCAGCCAGAATCAAGCTCCACCAGAAGTACTGGCCCGGACGTCCACGTCAGCAATGCTGAACTGGACTTGCCAGAGTCGGTGGCTGCCAAGGTGGCAACTGTCGGCGAACTTGACCTATCACCGCTCTCGCCTCCTGCTGACGTGGAAATCATTGATACGGCGACAGCCATGAAGACTGTGGGATTCTGGGTAAGCAGCAGGCAGATTCGCGACATCTTGGAGCGCCGAAAGCCATTAAATTTTGCCCTAAGCCCTGTGATCGCTTCTCTTCTCCCTCTCCCATCGTCAGCCCTTCCCCCTTTCTCCCCCCGTCCGCCCTTCTCGAGGTGACTTTTGAGTCGAAAGTCTCGACTCAAAAGTCACATCGCTTCTCTTCTCCCTCTCCCCCCATCCGCCCTTCTCCACTTCCCCCCCTTCCACTTCCTCCTCCTCTACCCTCTTCCTCCCTTACTCCCCCATCAGGTGACTTTTGAGTCGACTCAAAAGTCACCTCGTTGCAATGTCACACAACACTTTCGCTTTTTTGAGTCGACTCAAAAGTCTTCTCCCCCCGTCCGCCCTTCTCCACTTCCCCCCCTTCCATTCCCTCCTCCTCTACCCTCTTCCTCCCTTACTCCCCCATCAGGTGGCAGCAGCGATGGCCTTCGGTCTAGGCGTGGGCTTCGTGGAAGGGCCGACCAAAGCGTCTGAGTGCTTATCCCCGGCTTCTCTTCTCCCGCTCCCCTCTTCCGCCCTTCCCCACCTCCCTTCCCCCTTCCCCCTTCCCCCTTCCCCCCTCCCCCTTCCCCCTTCCCCCTTCCCCCTTCCCATTACCCCTCTCTCCCCCGCATCCACCAGGTGGCAGCAGCGACGGCCTTCGGTCTAGGCGTGGGCTTTGTGGAAGGGCCGACCAAAGCGTCTGAGTTCGCCTCCCTCTCCTTGCTTCCGCCCTTCTACCCTTCAATCCTCCCCTCTCCCCTTCCCCCTCCCCCCCTCTGTCAGGTGGCAGCAGCGACGGCCTTCGGTCTAGGCGTGGGCTTTGTGGAAGGGCCGACCAAAGCGTCTGAGTTCTTTGCGGGGTAAGGCTAGAGGTGGGTTAGGGGGGGGTGGTTAACTTAAGTGTCTGGGGTCTTCACGGGGCGAGACTAGGAAGAGGAGGATCCTAGGGTGGGATTGGTGTGTAATGAGTCTATTATTGAGTCGACTCAAAAATATACTCATTACACTCCAGTCCCAGGGGAGAGGGGATTAGCTCCCGACCAAAGTGTCGGTGATCTTCGCGGGGTGAGACTGGGAGGAGGATGAGGTGAGGATCCGAGGGTGGGATTGGGGGAGGAAGGGAGGGAACATGGGGGCAAGGCGGACGGTTAGTAGTTTTGTTTAGAGTCGACTCAGAAGAAACGACTATCATACGGTGGGAGACTGGGAGGAGGATGAGGTGAGGATCCGAGGGTGGGATCGGGGGAGTAAGGGCAAGTGGGAATGGCCGGAGGAACCAGCAGACGGGTTCATGGGGCGTTGCGAAAATCCCCAATCATAGCGTCTGAGCTGAGCTCTTGTCAGTGTGAGGCGAAACATGAAGGGTTGGGCCCCTGGGGTGCGGAGGCTGAGGGAAAGAGTCTATTTGTTTTAGGCGCCTCAAAGCTGCAGATTTCAAGACGACTTTGAGGCGCCTCAAAACTAGTTCCCAATCAAAGCGCCTGGAGCTCTTTTCAGTTTGCAACGAAGCACAGACGGTTGTGTCTCTGGGGTGCGGAGGCTGAGGGGAAGAGAGAGAAACGAGTCCAGGAATGGCGTTAGGGCTCAGAACAGAACAAGCAAGCACATTGCTTTTGAGAATTCTCAAAAACACCCTGCAAAATCTAGTGCTCAGAAGAACAGAACAAACAAGCAAGCAAGCACATATTCTGTGTTAGGGTTCAGAACAGAACAAGCAAGCAAATATTCTGAGGCGCTGGAAAGGTGCGGATTTCGAGACGACTTTGAGTCTGAGGCGCCTCAAAAGAAGTCTCCGAGGTGCGAAGGCTGTGGGGAAGAGAAATCCGAAGGCTGTGGGGAAGAGAAACCCGAAGGCTGCGGGGAAGAGAAACCCGAAGGCTGTGGGGAAGAGAAATCCGAAGGCTGTGGGGAAGAGAAACCCGAAGGCTGTTGGGAAGAGAAATCCAAAGGCTGTGGGGAAGAAAAACCCGAAGGCTGTGGGGAAGAGAAATCCGAAGGCTGTGGGGAAGAGAAATCCAAAGGCTGTGGGGAAGAGAAACTAGTCCAGGAATGCCTTTTTTTTAACATAGCTCAGAACAAGTAAGCAACCCTCTTAACATGCTCTTTTGGCTCGAGGCAAATGCGGCACGGCAGTCCCGTATCCATCTGCTCACCTGTGTATACTATGTTGCTTGCCACGTGGCAGGTATTTATTGGAGCAGAGCCTGTCGGTAGACAATCTCTTTGTGTTCGTCCTCGTCTTTTCATACTTCAAAGTGCCCACAGCATACCAGGTAGGTACTCCATACCCGCTATCAGCACAGCATACCAGGTAGGTACTCCATACCCGCTATAAGCACAGCAAACCAGGTAGGTACTCCATACCCGCTATAAGCACAGCATACCAGGTAGGTGCTCCATACCCGCTCTAAGCACAGCATACCAGGTAGGTACTCCATACCCGCTATAAGCACAGCATGCCAGGTAGGTACTCCATACCCGCTATAAGCACAGCATACCAGGTAGGTACTCCATACCCGCTATAAGCACAGCATGCCAGGTAGGTACTCCATAGCCGCTATAAGCAAGCACAGCATACCAGGTAGGTGCTCCATACCCGCTATAAGCACAGCATGCCAGGTAGGTACTCCATAGCTGCTATAGGCACAGCATACGAGGTAGGTACTCCATACCCGCTATAAGCAAGCACAGCATACCAGGTAGGTGCTCCATACCCGCTATAAGCACAGCATGCCAGGTAGGTACTCCATACCCGCTATAAGCACAGCATGCCAGGTAGGTACTCCATACCCGCTATAAGCACAGCATGCCAGGTAGGTACTCCATACCCGCTATAAGCACAGCATGCCAGGTAGGTACTCCATAGCCGCTATAAGTACAGCATACCAGGTAGGTACTCCATACCCGCAATAAGCACAGCATACCAGGTAGGTGCTCCATACCCGCTATAAGCACAGCATGCCAGGTAGGTACTCCATAGCTGCTATAGGCACAGCATACCAGGTAGGTACTCCATACCCGCTATAAGCACAGCATACCAGGTAGGTACTCCATACCCGCTATAAGCACAGCATGCCAGGTAGGTACTCCATAGCCGCTATAAGCACAGCATACCAGGTAGGTACTCCATACCCGCTATAAGCACAGCAAACCAGGTAGGTACTCCATACCCGCTATAAGTACAGCATACCAGGTAGGTACTCCATACCCGCTATAAGCACAGCATGCCAGGTAGGTACTCCATAGCCGCTATAAGCACTGCATGCCAGGTAGGTACTCCATAGCCGCTATAAGGACAGCATACCAGGTAGGTACTCCATACCCGCTATTGGCACAGCATGCCAGGTAGGTACTCCATACCCGCTATAAGCACAGCATACCAGGCAGGTACTCCATAGCTGCTATAAGCACAATGCACGTTTTTAGGGCAACAAGTAACTCCACTTCAATTCACGCCCCGCCACTTTTCACCTCTGCCCCTCCGCCTCACATGCTCACGTACAGTACCTCCAGAGCTGTGATTTTCTGTGCGAGATGGCCTTTGAGTCATCTCAAAAGTCACTTTTGACTCACAAGTCACCCCTGCCCCTCTGCCTCGCATGTTTATGTACGGTATCACATCAGCTGCAATCTTTGGTGCGCTGTTTTCTGGATTCCTTTCCTCTATCCTCTTTCCCCAATCCCCATGTCCTCCCGTCCTGCCCACCCTTTCCCGACCCTCTCCCACACCTTTCATACCTATCCCTCAGCCTCGGGTGCTGACGTACGGTATTGCCGGAGCTGTGATCTTCCGAGCCATCATGATAGGCTTGGGCATCGCTGCAATTCAGGTTCGTCTGGCCTCTGAGCCAGGGCGGCAGGCTTGGAATCGCTTCCTTTCAGGTGGGTTCAGGCGGGTTCAGGTGGGCTCAGGTGGGTTCAGGTGGGTTCAGGTGGGTTCAGGGGGGGTTCAGGTGGGTGCATAAGGTACTTAAATGCTGTTTGTTACAGTGGTTTTGCGTTCCCTCCCTCACGTCTCTCCCCCCTCCGGTAACATCCATCTCTCTCCTGTCATCCTACCCACCCCTTCCTCTGCCCAGGCACATGCGGCATTCAACCTCATGAGGCGCCCTCATCCTACCTACCCATTCATCCTACCTACCCATTCATCCTACCTACCCATTCATCCTACCCACCCCTTCCTCTGCCCAGGCACATGCGGCATTCAACCTCCTGTGTGTGTGCTGCTCTTCTCCTCTCCTCACTCTCCCCTTTCCCTCCTTCCGTCCCCTTGGTCCCCCCTTCTTTATCTCTCAGGCGTTCGAAGCAGTCAACCTCCTCTTTGCCGCTGTGCTGCTCTTCTCCTCCTACAAGGTAAGCAAGGGTGGGCTATGCTCTCAACTCTGGGCTAGTGCCGTGACTCGAAGGGCACCGGCTTGGGTAGGCATGTGTGAGGCAGTCAACCTTCTCTTTGCTGCTGTGCTGCCCGTCTCCTCCTAAAAGGTATGCAAGGGTGGGGAACGCAAACCACTACTCCTTCTCCTCCTAGTCCTGCAGCCTGTGTTGTTGTGACAAACAATCTATGCTGCTGCTGCTGCTGCTGCTGCTGGGAAAGTGCTGCTGTTCTCCTTTATTCCTCCTCTCCTCGCCGTCCTCGCCACAAATTTGCTCGCAGAAGCAGAGGATAGTTTTGAGGCGCCTCAAAACCCATATCACGCGCAGTTTTGAGGCGCCTCAAAACTCCTATCACGCGCGGTTTTGAGGCACCTCAAAAGGTGCTGCTGTCCCCCTTTGGCCCCCCTCGCCCTCCTCGCCCTCCTCGCCCTCCTCACTACACCAGCTGCTTGCTTTTGAGTCGATTCAGAAGGAGGCAGAGGATGAAGATGGTGGCCCTTCCAACAACTCTCGCCTTAGCCAACCAACTCATATGCTCCCGTCCTCCATCCCCCTCTGTGCCTGACCTCACCACAACAGCTGCTTGCAGAAGCAGAGGACGAAGATGACGATCTTTCCAACAACTCAGTTGTCAAATTTTGTCAACAACTCATCCCTATTACAGGTGCTGCTTATGCCATGTTCTGCTTATACCTGGTACTGCTTATAGCATGTTCTGTTGCTCTTCTTTTGCTTTTACTACCCACTCCTCTCTTCTTCCCCCTTACTCCTCTGCTCCTTTTCATTCCAATTTTTGCAAGAGCCACTTAGCTGGTGCTTAAATTCTCCTGCTTTAGTTCGTACAAGGTTCAGTTAAGTTCTTTTACTTTTGAATGAAATAATGCCGGCTGCTCTCTTTGCTGCCCGCGGTCGCTTGACATACTTGCTGGTGGCTCTCCAGGTTGTACGCCACATCTGCCGGAATAACTCCTGGTCCTCTTCTCTCGCATACGTGTGTAATGAGTCTATTTTTGAGTCGACAAAGAAATAGACTCATTACACACAGAATAACACCTGGTCCTCTTCCTTCCCATACTCCTTATAGGCTAGGCTACTAACCACGCACACTGGTAGTCTTTTTGATTCCTGTTTGTCTTCACCCCTCCCATCCCTCCCATCCCTCCCTCCCTCCCATCCCTCCCATCCCACCCATCCCACCCATCCCTCCCATCCCTCCCATCCCTCCCATCCCACCCATCCCTCCCATCCCTCCCATCCCACCCATCCCTCCCATCCCTCCCATCCCTCCCATCCCTCCCATCCCTCCCATCCCTCCCATCCCTCCCATCCCTCCCATCCCTCCCATCCCTCCCATCCCTCCAGTCCCTCGCGTCCCTCCCATCCCTCCCATCCCTCCCATCCCTCCCATCCCTCCCATCCCTCCAGTCCCCCGCTTCCCCCGCGTCCCTCCAGTCCCTCCCGACCCTCCCGACCCTCCCGTCCCTCCGGACCCTCGCGTCCCTCGCGTCCCTCACTCCTTTCAGGCTTCAGCTGACTACGATGGCGATAGATTCCACACCAGAACTGCTAATTTTATTCGGGCTTGCCTCCTTCCTTTTGCAGGGTGTTTTTTTTATCATTCTTAACAACACTGCGCGCCAGAACTGCTAGACTCATTTGGGCTTGCCTCCTTCCCGTTCTTTCCCTTCTAATTTTGAGGCGCCACTAAAATCCTCCCTTTCCCACCCCTTCCCTTCCCAACCCTTCCCTTCGCAACCCTTCCCTTCCCCTACTCCTCTCAGATTACTATGACAGCAATAAATTCTACACCACAACCGCAGCAGGCATACAGATGGTAAGCCCTTTCCCACTCTCTCACCAGTCGCCCTTTCCCACTCTCTCACCGCTCGCCCTTCCTCACTCTATCAACCGAACTCCTCTCCTCTCACACTGGCTGTAGTTGAATCTTCTCACGCCAATAGAGTGAGAAAGGGCTTACCATCTTGATTCCGTAGTAGCTGAATGTTCTCACGCTCACATTCTGCCTCTGCCCTCCCCCTTCATTCCTCTCCCATTCAACTATGGCCGCTCATCTCCTCTCACCCTTGCCGTATGACAGGCCACGTGTGACATCACACAGATTCTCCAATTCGCCCTGTCTCATACCCATGATTCGCTACTCCCCCCCTCCCCCATGACAGGCCACTCCTCTCCTCCTCACTCTGGCAGTGGTCGAGCTCTCTGACATTGTATTCGCTGTGAGTGGAGCTGCATTGTCGATAATGCTTTTGAGGTCTCAGAGTGTGCGGTTTTGAGGCTCCTCATAACCAGACTCTTGTCTCACTGTGAGTGGAGCTGCATTGTCGATAATGCTTTTGAGGTCTCAGAGTGTGTGGTTTTGAGGCTCCTCAAAACTAGACTCTTGTCTCACTGTGAGTGGAGCTGCATTGTCGATAATGCTTTTGAGGTCTCAGAGTGTGTGGTTTTGAGGCTCCTCATAACCAGACTCTTGTCTCACTGTGAGTGGAGCTGCATTGGTGATGATGCTTCTGGGGTCTCAGAGTGTGCGCGTGAGCTTTCCTCACCACACCTCACTCTGGCAGTGGTCGAGCTCTCTGACATTGTATTCGCTGTGAGTGGTGTTGCATTGTCGGTACAATAGTGCTGCTGAGGGCTCTCAGTGTGTGTGCTTGTAGACTGGCAGCCGTTGTTGAGCACTCCTCTCCTCACCTCATCTCACCTCACTCTGGCAGTGGTCGAGCTCTCTGACATTGTCTTCGCTGTGAGTAACGCCCTAGTAGAGTGTTATGGTCTGTAGCCAGCTATGTTGGGATTTTGTCAGCCGTTTAGAATTTCCAAGTGATTTGCGACCATCTTGTTGTCTTCCTCTCCCTCTCTCTCTTCCCTTCCTCGCCAGCCCTCTCGTGCTCCTGCCCTCCCATGTCTCTCCCCCCTCGCATCCCATCCCTCCTCATCAAGACTCCAACCACTTGGCATGGCTCGTGCAAGTTCATTTTCCATACCCCCCTAGCCTTTTCACTCATTTCCCTTCTCTGCATGCCTCTGCATGCCTCTGCATGCTTCCATTGTCTCTTTTGAGGCGCCTCAAAAGCGCCTCAAAGGCGCCTCAAAAGCGCATCTATGCCCTTCCGTTGTCTCTTTTGAGGCTCCTCAAAAGTGATCGTTGGAGTCAATCGCGACCCCTTCATCATTCTCCATCATCGTTCCCTCCAATTTCTCTTCCTCTTTCTTTCTCATATCTCCCTCCCTCCCAATCTCCCTGCCCTCTCTGCCCTCACCTCACATCTATTCTCCTCAGTTGGACTCCATCCCAGTTTTGAGGCGCCTCAAAAGTTTTGAGGCGCCTCAAAACTAGACTCCATCCCAGCTGTGTTTGGAGTCACTCGGGACCCCTTTATCCCTATCCTCCCTGCATGCTCCTTTCCCCCTCTCGCCCCTCTCTCCCCTCTCTCCCCTCTCTCCCCTCTCTCCCCTCTCTCCCCTCGCTCCCCTTGCTCCCCTTGCTCCCCTCTCCCCTCTCTCCCCTCTCTCCCCTCTCCCCTATCTCCCCCCCCTCCCCTCTCTCCCCTCGCTCCCCTCGCTCCCCTCGCTCCCCTCTCTCCCCTCTCTCCCCTCTCTCCCCTCTCTCCCCTCTATCCCCTCTCTCCCCTCTCTCCCCTCTCTACCCTCTCTCCCCTCTCTCCCCTCTCTGCCCCCTCTCCCCTCTTATCCCATTCCTCCTCAGTCTGACTCCATCCCAGCTGTCTTTTGCGTCACTCGGGGCCTATTGATCTTCTTCCTTCCCTTTATGCTCAATCATACCCCCCTTCCCAATTCCACTCTCTCCCCTCTCTCGCCTCTCTCCCATCTCATCCCATCCCTCACCAGTTTGACTCCATCCCAGCTGTCTTTGGCGTCACTCGGGACCCCTTCATTGTCTTCACATCAAATATCTTCGCCATTCTCGGTACAGTGACCACTGCTTACTGTCGCTACTTCGTGTTATTGTCGCCGTTGGTAAAGTGTTTCTTCTATTGTCTTCACATCCAGCATCTTCGCCATTCTCAGTACAGTCACTGCTGTTTTCATCCACCAATGGGTATTGTCACTAGTGACTTGTGCCCCTCTGTGTGGAACATGCTCGGGCAATGCTGTTGTCGGTTAAGTAGTTAAGTTTTGAGACGTCTCAAAACTAACTACTTAACCACCAAATTCCTCTGAGTGCAACATGCTCGAGCATTATTGTTGTTGTTGCTTTGCAAATCTCTTTGCATACTTGCTGTAGGGGGAGCCCCTTCCTCATTTCTGCTCTTCCATGCTTCTTTTCTATGTTCTTTTGCATGCTATGGCATCACATGGCATCATATGGCATCATATGGCATCATATGGCATCATATGGCATCACATGGCATCATATGGCATCATATGGCATCATATGGCATCACATGGCATCATATGGCATCATATGGCATCACATGGCAACACATGGCATCATATGGCATCATATGGCATCATATGGCATCACATGGCATCACATGGCATCACATGGCATCACATGGCATCACATGGCATCACATGGCATCACATGGCATCACATGGCATCACATGGCATCACATGGCATCACATGGCATCACATGGCATCACATGGCATCCCATGGCATCACATGGCATCACATGGCATCACATGGCATCACATGGCATCACATGGCATCATATGGCGTGACATGGCTTCATATGGCATGGCATGGCATGACACAACAGGCCTCCGCTCCCTCTTCACTGTCATCTCTACCAGCATGGCCGATCTGCACTTCCTGCAGCCTGCGATAGCAATAGTTCTCGGCTTCATTGGCTCCAAGATCCTTGCAGAGTTCTGTGGTGAGTACTCCTTGTTACCTTGAAGGTACTGCATTAGACCGCTCTTCACTGTCATCTCTACCAGCATGGCCGATCTGCACTTCCTGCAGCCAGCCATCGCTGTAGTGCTTGCTCGGCTTCATTGCCTCCAAGATCCTCGCAGAGTTAGCTGGTGAGTGGGCTCATCTCAGGCCTCTCTTTGCGCGCATGGCTGATTGGATCTGCTCTACCTGCTGCCCGCCATAGCCATAGTGCTCCGTTTCATCGGCTCCAAGATCCTTGCAGAGTTTGCTCGTGAGCACTCCTTGTTACCCTATGGGCACCGCAATAGACCTCTCTTCACCGTCATCTCAACCAGCATGGCCGCTCTGCACTACGTGCAGCCCGGTGACCTGAGTGCAGATCGGCCATGCTGGTTGAGGTGACGGTTAAGAGAGTGAGAACCACTGTGATGCTGTGCCCAGAAGACCAGAGTGCTTTAAAAAGTTATACCTGCTGCCCGCCATCACGCTGGTTCTCGGGTGCATCGGATAAAAGTTCCCGTCATAAAAAGTTCACCTGAAGCCGAAATTCTGGCGGAATTCTGTGGAGAGTAAGAATTCCGCCATGGTTCTCGGTTTCACCTTCAGCTCCGGTTGACTGGCCATGTGCCCACCTTCAGGTGCCTGTTGAGTGGCCATGTGCCCACCTTCAGGTGCCTGTTGAGTGGCCATGGGCCCACCTTCAGGTGCCTGTTGAGTGGCCATGTGCCCACCTTCAGGTGCCTGTTGACTGGCCATGCGCCCACCTTCAGCTCGATTTCACTGCCGTCGCTACGCTACGCTACCAGCGTGGCCGATCTGCACTACCTGCAGCCCGCCAGAAAGTGTGCTTGAGCCTTAAATCCTCCCTCTCTTGTTCCTCACACACAAAGTAATGCGTCACTCTCTCCTTTCTTCTCTCCCTCTCTTTCCTCTCCTTCGCACTGCCAGGATTGCACGTACCAACTGAGGAGTCTCTATGGGGTGGTGGCGTCCCTCCTGGCAGGGGGAGTGTACTTGAGCCTTCGATCCCTCCTCTCTGGCACACACATTAATGTGTCTCACTCCTTTCTTCTCTCCCTCTCTTTCCCTCTCCTCTTGACTGCCAGGGGTGCACGTACCCACCGAGGTCTCCCTAGGGGTGGTAGCTGCCCTTTTGGCAGGCGGGGTGTTCTTGAGCCTTCGGTTTCCGCGCACCGAGGGAGACGATAAAGAAGGGTTGTAGCATGCGCAAAAATGTGTCTGCTGCTGAGCTGACTGCACTCAAACTTCCCATGTGCTTCATTCAGAATTGGAGTTACCCCTGATGATGGTCTCTGTGCGGAGGGAGACGATAAAGAAGGGTTGTAACTTGTAAGTAGTAGTATCTGCCACGAGGTGGCTGTCGTTGAGATGTCTTTAACGAGTCACAAGAATATTTTCTGAGAGGGAGCTATGAAGGGTTGTAGCTAGCACCTGCAGAAAGGAGACATCTGCTACTGCTGATCGCACTCAAAACCGAGCGAGATATCGTGTCGTGTCATCTACGGTGGCATGGTTGGAAGCATGGGTTTCAGTTAAAACTAATCGAGTGCCATGTGATGCAAGAGAACATGTGTGCAGCAAGCACACTACACGGTAAATCTCCTTCTGGAGTGTCTCGTTCCGCACCTAAGAGAGGGTTTTGTAAAACATAGAGGGTAGGTGCTTGACCTGAACAGCACTTCATTATTGTACAGTGCCAGAACATTCTCTTTAGCAGTAGCCTTCACCCCTAATAAAATTAGAAAAGAAATATCATGGCAGATCGTCAGCACAACTCGAGATGGTATACAAAATATCACCCTTTTTTGTATTAATTCATTGTTAATAAACAATGGGACGTACAACTTATATACAAAAGAGGGCGATAACACTCACCCTAAATTCCTAAAATATACATAGCCGACCGCGTGGTGTGAACTACCAGTAGATGACCTAAAATGCTCATTGAGTTACGATGATAGTAGCTAGCTACTTTTGACTGCCGACGCGCGGCGAGCCAAGAGGCAAAGAATAGAATCCAATGTCCACCGCCGAGCCACTGAAACGAATCGCTGGTGTCGTGACTGTAGCGAATGAAAAAACGTTGCCTCCGAAAATTCATCGGGCTGTTTAAACCAAACCCCATACCCGTTGACGGATGAGATCGCGCTCCCACTGGGCCACGTCAGTGAAGGCAAAATCGGGCAGATGCTCGAACTGCGGCTGGTACGGACTGTTCTTGGCCAAATCGTACGTCGCCGCACGAAGTGCATCCTTCTTTGGCCCGCACGGCCGGAGAGATGTAACGTGCTCGTACGCCGCGTTCAGGTCCATCTTCGGTTCGGAGAACCAGAAAAGATACGCGATAACAGCAGCAGGCGAACGCCCCAAACCCGCAGTACAGTGCACGTATACAGTTTTCCCTTCCGCTACAGCTTTCGCAATAACCGCAACCATTCGGGGAAGCTCCCGCCGAAGCGAGTTGGGGTCAAAATCGACTGCCGGCCGCCTGTGGTGCTCGACCCCCACTTCCTTACACCGCTTCACAATACCTCCTATATCCACTCCCCAGTAGCTAATATCGTGGTCCTGCTGGAGATTAAGGATGACGTTAACGCCTTCGTCCTGCCGCAACCGGTCGATATCAGCGGGGGTTTGCGGCTGCGAACCGACGATGATGTTCTTGTGTACGCGTGTGTAGTAGATACCGAGCTCGTGGTGGTACTCGTACGGGTTCGCCATCTGGCGTTTCATCTTCTCGTTGTAGTCGAACGACGTCGGTACGGCCAGCTGCTGCAGTTGCTGCTGCGCGTCCTTCTCAAGTACGGCAGGTGCCTGGCATCGTACACCGCGAGATGAAACGGAAGCGGAACGAGCGCGAACGGCAACATCAGCTGCGGGGAACGATACGCGGAGAGACGAAAGGCTCTTCTTGGCTGCTTTTTGTGGCCGAAGGGCTGTAGAAGATCCGCCAAAGGCTCTTGGAACTGAGGGACAGGCCGCTAGAGCAGTTGCCATTGGGAAAAAAAGAGTTCTGAACTTGCGGTTGGAAAAATAAAGACTAGACGAGGCGAGTCTGATGGCGAGGCGACTTCTCAAGTCACTGTCTCGGAAGAACTAGAGGACGGAAGCACGCGACGGGAACGCAGTAACCTTGAACGCAGATGCAACGAACGGGTTCTGGATCGAGATGTGCTAGTTGAGTTTTCAGTGATTGGCGTTGAAGGCATGTTTGAGTGGACGAAGGCTGAATACGATGGGAATGAGTTGAACTGGACCTGTATTTCTACTCTTGCTGGAAGGTAGTAGGGGAGTGGGCAGAAAAAAGACGGTGGTTTTGTGGTGTGTGACGCGGTGTGGTGTGCGGTGGTGGGTCGGTTGTAGGTAGGAAGGACGAGGTGACGGCGTGTGTGGTGGTGTGTGCTGTGCGCTGTGGCGGGGTGGGGGGTTGTACTGGGCAGGGCAGGGCCCCTGCTGCTGCTACACTGGCCCGTTATCCACTGGGCTGAGGGCAAAGGGAAAGCGAGGGAGGATGGCGACGCGGCTCGAGGACTTGCCCTGCTGTGCTGCTCTTTCACCACCGAGGTTGGTGGAAAAGCGTGATTCGTGCTGATTCTGGTTCTGACGATGACGAGGTTGGTTCGTGGGGATTCGTGGCTGGTTTGATTGGGTGAAAGCGGGGAGGAAGGGGGGGGGGGATGGGTCGTTGGGGGAGGGATGCGGGGAGGGAGAGGGAAAGGACGTCTGTTGCGTGGGGTGGAGGACGAACCAACAACCTCTCAGTTGGAGGGGGGACAGCAGGCCGAAAGGAGGACCGCCACCTGGCGCCCCAATAAAGCACGACTGGTCTACGAGTGGTCGCCCTGATGGAACGGACGACGGCGGTGCGCAATTGCGACTCGATTGTTCCGAGTCTTCTTCGTCGCCTTCCATAATGGTAGGTGAGGGGCTCTCTACACTACAGTGCTGTAAAAGGGGGTTGATCGGCAAGTGCGGCTCGACTGATGGCTGGGTTGCGTGCGCGGTGGATCTTGCCCGTGCCCTGTTGTATCCCTGGGAGCTCCGCAGGGGCGTGACGTGCGCCCCCCTGGGTTGACATTGACGATGCTGCGGCACCGCGCGGTCGGCAACCCACCTCCACAAGATTTTTCTTTCCAACGGGGCTTTGTGTAAGCACTGGCTGGCTAGCTGTGGAAAACTTTCTGTTCAGTCAAGACTAATCAGTCTCAACAGCGTACACCTTCGTCAGCTCAGCTCAAGATGGTGAAAGCTTTTGAAACTGCCCGAAGTGCTTGAATTGTCGCTCCAACGGCACACTCAACTTTCGTCACTCAAACTTCCTCTCCGCAGGGTTTCGGACGGACCACGTCCCTTACATACAGTAAGGGCGTGTCCAGAGTGCAAATCCGACATCCGACAACATCCGTCGGACGTCGAGGCCGACATCTGACGACATCCGAGCCCGACATCCGTGGATGTCGAGACTGGGGTTTCAGTACACCCCACGCTCGACAAAAGTGCCCGGAGATTCCCTGATCACTGTAGCTCATTGACCGGCATTTTCTGTTACAAATTTTGCATATCAGATTTTGAGATGTAACAAGCCTCGCGAGACTCGCCAAATCAATTTGTCCGGCAAAATTGCACATGTAGTCCGTTTGGTTTTTTTGCGAATGGAACTTTTCCCAACAGAAGATTCGCTTTCTATGCCCGTCGTTTCTGTTCGAGAAAACTCGACATCCGCTCGCGATCCGGGATGTCGAGGGTGGATGTCGGGACTACTCTGGACATGTGGACCCCCTTCAAACCCCTCACCTACCTACGTCAACATCCCCCGACATCCCCGACGTCCCTTGACGTCCAACTATGGACACGCTCTAGTTGTCAGAGGGCGACAAAGATCAACCAGTATTGTGTGTGTTTGCCCTTCCAACGACAGGACCCGCGTCGCCATCGCCAATGCCTAACCAATTCTAACCAATCGTGTATGGACGCTCCAACAGAAACCGCGTCGCTAACTCAAATCTTATCCAATTTCCACCGCTGTTAGTGGCTTGGTCTGCAGCATCTCATTCGGCGTCATGGAGCAGCGCAGTCAGATGAAACCAACCAGCCAGATGAAATCCGAAAAATCTGGCAGTTTCTGGATCAATCTGAACAATCAGGAGTCGCAGATTTGGCAGAATTTGGCGGAATAACGAGCGGCCTGTCAGGTGCCTCCAAGATTTCCGACTGGAAAACGGGAGTGCAAATATGACCGTTCAAACGGTTTCTGTTCCTGGCCACAAACGGGGTTCTCTCAATAACAGGCAATTGACGAAATGATTTCTGGTACAGAACCTTTTCTCACTTCCATAAATAAAACTTCAACGTACAATAGTGTACAACCACGAATTTGAAACGTAACACATCAAGCAACACCATCAGTCGACATTACCTCACTCAACATCGGCAATTTTGGAGTTACCAGCAGCACTCGAACTACCACCAGGCAGAGCAGGACCACCAAAAGCATTGCTGCTTGCTCCTGTCCCATCGCTCACATCGTCACTGCTTCCAGCACCCGCACTCCTCTCTCCACTTTCGCTCTCTCCACCTGCCCTCACTCCACCTTCCCTCCTTCCTCCACCTTCCCTCCTCACTCCATCTTCCCCCATTCCTCCATCTTCCCTCCTCCCACCACCTTCCCCCATGCTCTCCCCAACCTCTCCCCTAGCTGCACCACTCCCCTCCGTTCCCCCGCTCTCCTCCCCCTCTTCCCTCCTTCCATCCCCCAAGCTGGGGGCAAAGAGGGGCGCACTACCCTGCAGCACATGCCGCATGGACGGGTCTTCCATTGCTGACGTCACTCTCCTGTCCAGGTCTCCCAGTCTCTGGCTCAGAGTCGCAAATTGCTGCTGCATCTGTTGGGGGGGGGGGGAGAGGGGGAAGGTGAGGGAAGAGAGGTAAGAGACAGAGGGCGCCGTGAGGAAAGGCTGACGTCACTCTCCTGTCCAGGTCTCCCAGTCTCAGGCTTAGTTCAGAGTCGCAAACTGCTGCTGCATCTGTGAGGGGGGGAGGGGTGGGTGGGAGAGGGAGGCGAGGCAGAGGTAAGAGACAGAGGGCGCCGTGAGAAAAGGCTGACGTCACTCTTCTGTCCAGGTCTCCCTATCTGTGGCTCACATCAGAGTCGCAAACTGCTGCTGCATGTGAAAAAAAAATTGGGTTCAGACGGCAGGGGGACGAGGGGAGAGGGGGCGAGGGAAGAGGGGGCAAGGGAAGGGGGGGCGAGGGAAGAGGTGGGGGGGGGGGGAGGGGGGGGTTTGGGGGGGGGGTTAAAGAGGAGTGTGGATGATTATGGAGAATCTAAGTTGCTTCCATCTGCAAAAAGCACACTAATGCGTGATTTCTGACATTACTGCTGACGTCATGGACTCATGGACATAGTTTGATCTTGTTGTAAGCTCGACTTAACACGAAACACAACAGGGATCTAACCTGTATCATCGGACACAGGCTGAACGTATTTGAGTCGACTAAAAAATAGACTTCACACGAACAAAGCAAGGATCTACTCAGTATCATAGGACACGAGCTGGAGGTTACCTGCTCTGGCGAGCTGCTGGTCTGCGCTGCAGTCAGCGAGGACACCTTTGAGTCGACTCACAGACGACATGGCTCGCAGCTCCTCAATCATTCTCGCGAGGGGGGGGCTTAGCACGACTACAACAAGGACCTAACCAGTATCACTGGACACGAGCTGGAGATTACCTGCTCCAGCGAGCTGCTGGTCTGCACTGCAGTCACCGACCACGCGGCTCGCAGCTCCTCGATCTTGCTGTGATTGGACTTGACATTGAGAGAACAAGGTACTGCAACAGCAGTCGAGAATCTCACCTGCTCTAGCGAGCTGCTGGTCTGCGCCGCAGTCACGGACGACACGGCTCGCAGCTCCTCGATCTTGCCTCTCAGCTCGAGGTCCGTGCCGCCCCCTGCCAGCTCGATCTGAGAAAAGAGGAGGCGGAAAAGAGGAGGCGGAAAAGAGGAGGCGGAAAAGAGGAGGCGGAAAAGAGGAGGCGGAAAAGAGGAGGCGGAAGAGGAGAGGGAAGGGGTGGGGGGAGGGGGAAGGGAGAGGAGTTAATACACAACCGACGACACGGCTCGCAGCGCCTCCATCTTGCCCCTCAGCTCGTAGTCTGTGCCGCCCCCTGCCAGCTCGATCTGGCAAAAGAGGAGGCGGGAGGGGGGGGAAGAGGGGGGGGAGACAGGGAGAGGGTTGATACATGACTGTGTGACGACACAGCTCGCAGCTCCTCAATCTTGCCTCGCAGCTCGTGGTCCGTGCCGCCCCCTACCAGCTCGATCTGCGGAGTGAGGGGGATGCGGGGAGGGAGAGAGAAGGGAGAGAGGAGGGAGAGTGGAGGGGGGGTTGATGTGACTGGGGGCGGATGGTAGCTCCTCGATCTTGCCTCTCAGCTCGTGCTCCATGCCCCACCCCCCCCAACCCCCCCTCCGCCCCCCCCTTCTCGGCTAGCTGGATTTGAGAAGCGTGGTGAGTAGGCAGGAGCGTGGTTAGGAAGTGAGGACGGTGGCCACTGATTCGATTTGATTCGATTCGAGTGAGGGAGGATGGTAGTAGGGCATTCTATCGTGGTCTGATTGTTTGTGGATTTTTTGTCTGCTTGTTTCTTTACAATCACGAGCAATTATAAGGGGTATTTAGGCGCTCTAGAGATGCACGAGCGCCTGAATGTTCTTGAGATGCAGCTAGCACTCCGTGCCTGGTCTAATGGCTGTGTTCTACCGACCATCATCCCAAGGGAGCTGCCGCGTAATGCAGAATCCTCCCTCCCTGCCAGGTCGATATAGTAGAGGTGCGACGCAGCGGCGATAGGTCTCGCCTCCACCCTAAGAAGCACTCCCAGTCCGGTCTGAAGGCTGTCTTGTTTTTGAGGCGCCTCAAAAATAGACTCCACCCTAGAAGCACTCCCTGCCCGGTCCGATGGCTGTGTTCTACCGACGATCATCCCAAGGGAGCTGCGAGTCCAAGGGACAATCCACACCGAAGCCCTCGCTGCCAGAAAAGTTCAGGTCGATCTAGAAAGTGCGATGCAGCTGCGATAAGTCTCGGCTCCAACCCTAGAACCACTGTGAGAGGGAAAGAGTAACTACATTCTTAGAATTCGACGAGAGAGAGAGAGAGAGAGAGAGAGAGAGAGAGAGAGAGAGAGAGAGAGAGAGAGAGAGAGAGAGAGAGAGAGAGAGAGAGAGAGAGAGAGAGAGAGAGAGAGAGAGAGAGATTTTTTAGAATCGGCTGCCCAACCACTGAGGCGCCTCGGAAATAAGCTCAATCAAACCGCTCACGACATTCATAATCGACGCGAGGAAATGGAACACCTTCGACGCGATGATCGCGATCCCCCACCCCCTGCGATCTCCCCCGCCTGCCATCCCCCCCCCCTGCGATCCCCCCCGCCTGCGAGAAACCCCACCTGCGATCCCCCCCCCCCGCGACCCCCCCCGCCTGCCATCCCCCCCCCCTGCGAGACCCCCCCCCTGCGATCCCCCCTCCTGCGATCCCCCCCCCCGCGATCCCCCCCCTGCAATCCCCCCCCCTGCGATCCCCCCTCCTGCGATCCCCCCCCCCGCGATCCCCCCCTCTGCAATCCCCCCCCCGCGATCCCCCCCCCTGCAATCCCCCCCTTCTGCGATCCCCTCGTCGCTGCAGGCCAGCTTATAGCGAGCTGAGTCAAGAAACTCCTCCACGCTGCTCACCTCGTCCGCTATACACGCTCACCTCGCTCACGATCGACGCGAGGAAGTCGAACATCTCCGGCTCCCGCGAGCACTGTGCAGGTCAGCGTAGCGAGAAAGGTTCAGGACTAGTCGATCACCCTACGATCACCCTACGCTCGCCCACCATCGACGCGAGGAAGTCGAACACGCTGGTCAACAAATCATGCGCTAAGTTAAGCCACGAAAATGCTTTGCGCTGCTCACCTCGTCCTCGTCCGCTATCCACGATGCTCACCTCGCTCACGATCGACGCGAGGAAATCGAACACCTCGGCACCATCTTCCACCAGCGGCTCCCGCGACCCCCCCGCCTCTGCTGGCCGCCCCATCGAGAAGAAAGCTAAGCTGAGATAAGCTAAGCTAGGCTGAGCTAAGATAAGCGAAGCTGAGGTAAGCTCACGCACGCCCGACGACGGAGGATTCTGGCCTTCGGTAAGGAAAATGAGGCGACTGTGACGAGCAGACCCCCTTCACGTCGTTACCTAGGTTAGGGCGTGTCCAGCGCGTACGTTCAATTGCGGTTGGGTGAGGTGCCTCAAGGATCAGAAGGATCGATAACAATTTTAAAACGGTTGGGTAGGGTTTTGGGGGGAGTATTGTGTGTCAGGACAACCCCGGTATAGTCTGATATGAAAATTGCTCACGCGTCCAGGGGGTATTCGGTACAAGCTCAGGCTTCAACTGTCGTTACAAAAACACGCGAATGGGTGAAAAGGCATACGATTTTAGGCGTAATAGACGAGCTACGTTTCGCTACTCGCGTTACTTGTTAATCGTACTTAACGATAATTGCTGATATGTGCAAACGGCATTGCCGAGACGTACAAACGGAGACATATCATGCGAAATCGCGAAGCTTCAGGCAGTCGCAATCCCAGCTGCCGGTTACTTGCACTGGGCGGTGGCGAGAAGAAAAGTTCGCTCATCGTTACAGTGGCTCCTAGCTGTCGTTGTTTCGCTGGGGTACCGGACGCGCTGGAATGCACACCATGCATTCGACATTTAAAGCCGTTGACCCAAAACGTGCAAGATTAATAAACGTGAGAGGGGCAAAAAGTTGGACACGGCAGCGTGCACGGGAGTAGGGCAGTAGTGCGAGGTGGCGAGTGGTTTTCGCCAACGAGCGAGCGTCGCAACACCATGCGCGACAAAAACACTCTTGACGAAACCTCATGAACCAATCAGGGCGCAAAAAAACCGAGCACGCAAAACACCGCCAATATAAAAGGACAAAAGGGGAGGGTGGGACGGAAAAGGGAGAGGAGGGGCCGCGCTAGGCGCGGGAAGTTGGTTGGGGGGGGGGGAAGGAGGGAGAGAGTGGGAGTATGGGAGGGGTGATGAACAGAGAACAATAGGAAGGTACACGTAAGGACGTGGTGCTTTTGGCGAGATTTGGGCTGCGCAACTCGTGTGGGTAACTTGACTTGGCAATTTTCGCCAAACAACTTTGGGGTGGGGTGGCGTACGCATATCAACTGTTGTAAAGAACATTGGTGTTTTCACGTCGCTCGCACGAAAAATGCAAATCGAAACGCGAAATTAGATTTGGTGCGAGGAATCTAGTAACTGTTGGAAATATCTCAAAGGACTTAAGCGTTTCTGAAGTGTAACACTACACTATCTGACGAAGAAATTGGCGAAGGCAAAATTCGATTACTGCACGCTGCTGACCGGGCAGACAAACGTCACCGGATTTGAACACGCCAGCACTCCAGAAACGAAGGGGAGTGTTGGAAATATCTCAAAGGACTTGAGCGTTTCTGAAGTGTAACACTACACTCGAGGAAGATCGCAACGGGTACGCGAGTCAACGGAGGTTACACGAGGGGACGGACAAAGAACGCGAAGGGACTCGAAGGGTCGCAACTGGAGGTTGCGACTGACCGTTACAACAGCGCGGATGGTAACCGAAGCGACAATCGAGTCGCTGTGCGACTCGATAATCGCTCCTGCAACTGTATTCTACAACTGCTTTCTTATTTTCTATATATTGCTGTATGCTTGTTTCTTTAATCAATCACTTGTTCTCATATACTAGTACAAGGGTTCAACTACTCAACTTCCGCTGCACTACTCAAGTCTCAATCCTCAACTGGGACTTAGTCTCTGGAAAGATCCAAAGGGCTTTTCTCAGCCCAACATGGTATGAGAGCTGGTCAGAGACCAAACTCCCAGCAACTACGCTCTATCTACAATCTGCAATTCAACGACTTCATTGATTACAAGTCATGGACAGCAAGGGCAAGAAAATCTCTACGGGCTCACCCAACAACTCTGGATTGCACACTTCAGGACTGCAAACCGAGACCGGCGCTGCTCAAGAAACAACAGGAAGAGCACCGGAAATGGTGACCCCATCACCCTCTTCAAGCGTGGATCCGAACCTTATGGAAAGGTTCTTCAGCTTCATGTCGCACTTCGACCAGCAGCAGCAGACAAGGACACCTGCGCATTCAACACAGAGCAACGGAGGAAACATGGGATTAGCACCGATGAGCCTCGACAATTCATCATTCGGGCGACACAACCAAGCGCCTACCTTTGCGCCTTATCACTCTTCACCGGGGACATTCGAGTTCATGCCGCCCCGTGCCCAACCAACAGCAGCTGCATCACAACAGACACCAAACGAGATTTTAAGTCTCCAGGCGCAGTTTTCACACGTAATCAAGTTACAGACATCCTCACCGTTCAACGGACACGACTTCTTTACCTGGAGCTTTGAGTTCGAGCTGCTGATGGAGGCTACGCATCTCTTGGGATACTTCAACGGGTCCCTGCCATTTCCAAGCAACGGCACTGGAAAGGAGCAAGAAATTTTCACGTATCAGTCGCTGCTGGCGTATACTGTTCTCCTGCGGAACCTGTCACCACAAGAACAGCAGAGCATCAGAACTTATCGGAGCTATGGAAACTCCGCGGAACTCGCATGGCATCACCTCAAGTGTCTCTATCAAGCAAACGACAGCGTGACACAAAGCAGACTCATGCAACAGCTGACAACAATACAGATGAAGACCGGGGAAAAGGCGATGCAGTATATGAGTCGATGCCAGACCCTCCGCGACCGCCTGCTTCGGTGCGGAGGAACAATCACTGAAGAAAGCTTCGTGACGCTTGTCCTCGCCGGGCTCGGGCCAGAATGGAGAACCACACGCTCGCTTCTTCGCGCCCACGGAAGGATCTCGGAGATGCACCTCTGCGCCGAGCTTCATGCTGAACAACAGGAGATGGACCTGTTCGAAGAAAGACAACCAAGGAAGCAGCAGCAGTTAGTTTTCTACACTCAACGAAGGAACGACAACAATTACAATCGACGCGGCAAGCAAGATCAACGCGACAACAGAGGACTCACCATCGTGCCGCCGTTCTGCCACAACTGTCAAACATCCGGACATTCCAAAGTCAACTGCACACGTCCTCGTGTTTATCGTCCAGTAGACCCACAAGTCGCCTCCACTCAAGAAAGCCCTCCAAGACGTTCTTCCACATCTGCACAAGGGACACCGAACATCATCAATTGCATGGTACACATCGACAACTGCGCACCCGGATCACCACCCAGTTACGCACCAGACGAAGAAGAATTCCCGCCGCCGCGCTCACAAGGACTTCAGGTCAACCCGACATACGCTGCGGTCGCCAACGCCGAACCCACCGGGCGAAACACCTGGTTCTTGGACAGCTGTTGCGGTCAACACATGTGTTCTTCCGGACGCTTCGTGCAACGAGAGCGACGCCTCAACCGCGACGTCATCATTACTGTCGCCAACAACGAGAACCTGAAAACAAACAGACAAGGAGTCGTTCAGTTACAGTCCATGGAAACAAATGTCATCCTGCAACTCAACAAGGTTCTAATTGTCGACAACTTGGGATACAATCTGCTAAGCGTCAGCCAGCTAATGGCAAAAGGAATTCACCAGGAGTGCGACTCGGACTCCAACGAGTTTCACCTTTACCACGGGAAGGGCGGCCTCTTCATCGGTCGTGCTCTCCTGAAGTCAGGCGTCTTCGTGTTGGACTTCGTCCCCGACCGCGGTACTGCCGACAGCGATGGCATCGTGTCGTTCGCCGCCTGGACACACCCGCCGGATCTTGACCCCGACTTCAACCCCGACGGATTCTGGTACTCCAACACCATACCTGCAGCAGAGAGAACACGAGCGTTAGCAGTCATCAGACAAGAAAGGCAAGTACCAGCAAGCATCTCTTCCCAGACATCACCTACAGTAACAGCAGCAGGACCCAGCCAAGTACCATCGCCAGCGATCCGTGGACCGTCAACCGAAGCAGATCAACTTATACCCATCACACGCGAAGTCTGCCGAAGTCCCGCCACGGTCGTCGCGTTCTTCTCCAACGCCGACATATATCACCGCTCGCCCGGCCATCGCACTCCTGACGACATCTGGCACCAACGTCTCGGACATCCTGCAAACAGTACAATACTGCAAACCATCCAAGCCGAAGTGTTAGAACGAAACGCTCTCCTTACAACGAGCGGCCAAGAACTTCGACGACCACGCGCACGGTGCTTTACGTGCCCCGAAGCCGATCTTTCCCACCAGCCTTTTCCATCCCATCATAACCCAAGCGCACCTGCATACGCACCGATGGAAAAAGTCTACAGCGACATTTTAAACATGCCTCGAGAAGACACTGAAGCCGACTTCAACTATGTCATCACGTTTATCGACGCAGCAACAAGATACGTCTGGCACTACAACCTCAAGACGCGCGATCAAGCCTTCGACGCCTTCACGACATGGCTCCCCATCGCCGAACGAGAATCAGGAACCAAGCTCAAAAGCTTCCAGTCAGACGGTGCACTGGAATACCAGTCACAACGCTTCATGACCTATCTGGCGGAAAGAGGAATCAGACGTCTGGTGTCTCTGCCCTACGCTCACCAGCAGCAGGGGGTCGCAGAACGCATGAACCGGACCTTGCAGATGACAATGCGAGAGCTGCTCCTGGGGATGAGACTGCCCAACACACTGTGGCCAGACGCGATGACACATGCAGTCCACCTGCACAATCTGTTGTCCTCGTCATCGCTTCCCAACAACGCATCACCGCACCTGCTGTGGACACGAAAAAGGGGCAGCACAAAATTACTTCGAGTTTTCGGCTGCATGGTACAGTACAGACCCCACACAGCCCGAGCAGGACGCTTCACTCAACGAGCTTGGTGGGGACTACACCTCGGCATCGCCAAACATTTTCACGCATGGAAAATCCTCGACATACAAGACAAAAATACGGTGGCATGACGTGATGTTATCTTCTACGAGCGACTGACGCTGCAGCATTACCTGGACAACATTGCCAACACACACGACCCCACCGACGGCCTCGCGGGCCTTCGTTCCTTCGCCGACCGTGGTGCCGAGGCTGACGCAGCAGAAGAAGACGTACCTGGAGCCTCGGAAGCTGCC